CTTATTTGTCAGGGGTCGACACAGCGAATAAACCACCAACTATTCCAGCATATGTTTTATGCAGCGGATACCCTTCCTGCCACAACCCAGTACTGGGAAAAACCTATACACACTCATTCACACACACTCATACATTACTGCCAAATTTGTAAATTAAATTCACTTACACTGCATGTGCTTGAACTGTGGGGAAAACCGGAGCACCCGGAGGAAATCCACGTAAACGGGAGGAACATGCAAACTCCACACAGAAAGCCGGGACTTAAACCAACAACTTACTTGCTGTACGGCGACAGTGCTAACCCTAAATTGCACATTTTATAAGTAATATCCAGTTTTGTGCACAGAATGATTGTTTTTGCCACAGCTCAGTTCAATGTATGTTTACTTGTAAAGCTTTCACAATAATTATACTTCCAAAGAAGAAAAGTTATGTGTTATTATATTAACAGCAGTAATCTGAGTATATACAATATATGATACATATAGGCAATATGTATCCTTTTTTTAATCTATGTTTTGCCTGTATATGTTTTTGTAGCCATTGACTTGCTTTTTATGAACCACAGGGCACCACATATTCAGTTAATAATCGTCTTAAATGCTCTACTGTAGGGAAAAAAAAATTATCTACATCTTTAATTGCCTGAGGCGAGTAAATTAACAGCAAATATTCACAGCAAATCACCATATTAGAATGATTTCTGAAGTATAACGTGACACTGAAGACTGGATTAATGATGCCGAAAATTCAGCTTAGCCATTACAGGAATATATTGCATTTTAAGACATATTCTACCACGTATAATTAGCATGTTTCATATAATCACAAATTCATTTCTTACTGATTTTTACTTTATCTTGATTAAATGGATGCAACTCTGAGTAGTAGTAGTAAAGTGTATGTTAATGCAAATCCTTCCTCCCACTACTAGAACTAGAAACACCAACCAGTTTTCACAGAGCCAGCGAAGAGATCCTCATCACATCCTGGGCATGACCCTCTAACCTGTCTTTAATCAGCCAGACATGCAAGTACAAGAACATAAAAACCTCTTGCCATTATAGCGACTTCTTCCCCAAGGCCATCCGCCTCCTCATCAGCCTCAGGCACATTATTATACAGCACATGATCAAACTGATCCGGCAGCGTTTCATCAGAGGACATACAAATCTATACGAATTTTAAGTTGAATGTTTTGATACGGTTTTAATAGTTAAAAAATAAAGAACCCCCACTGATGGCTAGTGTTTCAGTTGTGTTTTTGTCACAGCAACACAAAGAGAGTTCACAGAAGTCTCGGCTATGTGCAAGGCACATGTCGCAGGTTATGCCGATCATTTGATGTAGAAGTCAAATTCACACTTTAAGTATGTAAGTGTCAAGGAGACCAGCTAATACATTTTTGGGGTGAACAAATAGCATATTTAGATCATAACTAAAGTCAAGGTCAGAAAGAATTAAAAAAAATACCTGCATAGATATATGGATATAAAGTTGAAGTCAGAATTATTTGCCCCTCTTTCAATTTTTTTTCTTTTTTAAATATTTCCCAAATGATGTTTAACAGTGCAAGGAAGCATGTCTGATCATATTTTTTTCTTCTGGAGAAAGTCTTATTTGTTTTATTTCGAGTAGAATAAAAATCTGTTTTGAATTTTTTAAGAATCATTTTAAGGTCAAAATTTTTAGCCCCTTTACGCTATTTTGGTTTTGATAGTCTACAGAACAAACCATCATTATACAATAGCTTGTCAAATTACCCTAACCTGCCTAGATAGCATAATTAACCTAGTTAAGCCTTTAAATGTCACTTTAAGCTGTATAGAAGTGTCTTGAAAAATGTCTAGTCAAATATTATTTACAGTCACCATGGCAAAAAATTAATCAGTTTTTAGAAATGAGTTATTAAAACTATAATGTATGTATAATGTATATAATGTATTAAACAGAAATTGGGGAAAAATAAACAGGGAGGCTAATAATTCTGACTTCAATTGTATATGCAAATTACATATGCATGCAAGTTCATATTTCGATTTCATGTATATGAAATTAGATATGCAAAAAATATATAAAGATTTTGGCATATTTGTTCAACCTTTGTTTAAATGCAGTAGATATAATTAAGTTCATATAAAACACGTACAAAATATATCAAATTAAAGTTAACATATTTGAACATTTTTGCACATACTTGTAATTCCAATGACTGAAAAAATACTAAAATCCAAAAAATGAATTTATATGTCATATACAGTTGAATTCAGAATTATTAGCCCCCCTGAATTATTAGCACCCCTGTTTATTTTTTCCCCAATGTCTGTTTAACTGAGTGAAGATTTTTTCAACACATTTCTAAACATAATAGTTTTAATAACTCATTTCCAATAACTGATTTATTTTATCTTTGCCATAATGACAATACATAATATTTTACTAGATATTTTTCAAGACTCTTCTATACAGCTTAGAGCTACATCTAAAAACTTAACTAGGTTAATTAGGGTAACTATGCAGGTTAGGGTAATTAGGCAAGTTATTGTATAACGATGGTTGATTCAGTAGACTATCAGGGAAAAATATAGCTTAAAGGGGCTAATAATTTTAACCTTAAAATGGCTTTTAAAAATTAAAAACTGCTTTTATTCTAGCTGAAATAAAACAAATAAGATTTTTTTCAGAAGAAAAAATATTATCAGACATACTGTGAAAATGTCCTTGCTATGTTAAACATCATTTGGGAAGTATTTTAAAAAAGAATATAAAAATCAAAGAGGGGCTAATAATTCTGACTTCAACTGTATGTAATTGCCATATATCAGAGTTGGGAACAGGGTCCAATGCATATCTACAGTATTCGTCTAGTTTCAAATGAACCATGCCTGCCTGACACCTCAACAAACTTGTTATAGTTGGCACTGCTTTAGCAGCACATTATAATTCCAAATTCAATATTTTAATTGATGATTCGTTGTTTGAGGACTTTTCATTCCTGGCAAGGAATTTCAATAGCGATAATAACAAACTTGCTTTTTCTGAGAGCCTCTTTTGAAATGACTCACCCTTGACTGTTTTTTCTACAGTCCTTCACCTCTTCTGTATTGAGGTGTCTAGAAGTATCATCTGAAGTTGTACTTTTGACACAGCTACTTGTTCTGAGCACTTTGTACATGTGGACTGGCCACTGACCTCAGAAGAGTCCATTTATTGGTCTTTTTTATGGATAGAGTTCACTAGCTACATGTACAAACATTCAAAGCATCTCTCATCTTTCTGGCTACCTGCTGAAGTTAGACTTGACACCTAGCTCTATATTTTTTTCATTTACTTTGTCTGTTGCAAAACAGAATATACCCTGTGTGGTGGCACAGAGAGGAATTTGATAAAACGAATAGATATGACAACTATATATAGATTCGTCAGTTAAAAGAGGGTGACTGATTAAAACATCTTTTTTTGTGTACAACTTATTTGGTCAGCACTGAGGTCCTGTATGCCAGTGTTTACACTCATTTTAACTGAACTGCACTAATAGACTAATCATATCATTTGTGCAATTGAGTTTACTTAAGTTTTTTTATTATTATTATGAGCAAATAACCTTTAGTAATATCTCTATGAATCAACAAGTTGCACAGAATTAGTTTAACCCTTTATAGAGCACTCATTGAATCACTTATTGGAAAAACCCTGGAGTGGCACTCGGGTTATTACAAGACTTTTAACCTTTCATGATTTAAAAAAGATATGCGTATATGTATATATATGTTATCAATGTCACTGAAGTTATCATAAAGGATTCTTTGCCCAACAAATGGTTTGAAACTATGTTCTTTTGATTCATATTTTTATGGTAACCATGATGCAATTTTCAGCATATATCGATCAATAATAGTAACCCAGGCTTATTATTGATACATACCCCTGTATACATTTCTGGAGATTGTGAAATACATCCCAGGAGGTTCGTTTTTCTGTAGTGTTTTTTTTTTTTTTTGTAAATCCACCAGAGGACACTGTGTAAACTTTTAAGATATAAAACTTGTCTCGCGAGTGCCATTCACACCTACTGTTCTCCTGTGAATCCACCAGAGGTGTCGACTGACTGACCGACCGATCCGTCCACCCACCCCCTTCCCTAAACCTAACCAATAGTCTTTTCAAAACCACAGATTGACCTGACCACCGCTTTTCCTAAACCCAACCGACAGTGTTTTTAAAGGCAATCTAGAAAAAGAAAAGCCCTCGTGGCCACATGATTTATACCACATTTTCGTATCGTATCATGCCCTGTTATTTAGTTGTTTATTTATGTTTTAAATTTTGTTTTATCTGCTTTTTTTTTTCTTCACCGGACTTGAACCCGTCGTCGCGATCAACTTCTCTTTGCATCTCAAGTTCTCCAAAGTACATGGCAAGCTACTGGGTAAACTGGTAACAATGTAACGGCCGTTAACATGGAGGTAAGCGTCAGTTGGTAGCACAAAAAGAAACCGCAGAAGTCGGCAGCATCACACCGCCTCGTAGCGTTCTTTTTAAAGACAAAATGCAGCCATACGTAGCAGAAGTGTATACAAGGGTACGTACTTACAATGAGCCTGTGTTGCAACCATAAGAGTTGACAACAAACAAACAAACAAACAAAAACAACAAACACTTGGAATATAATTGCTTTGTTTAAATGTCTTTAAATTATCTTTAAATTAAAAATTAAAAATATTTTAAAACTAATTAATAAACTTTGATGTTTTTACCAGACTTTTATTAACAATAATAATAATAATAATAATAATAATAATAATAATAATAATAATAATAATAATAATAATAATAATGATAATGATAATGATAATAATAATAATAATAATAATAATAATAATTATTATTATTATTATAATATTGTAATCACTGTCAACATTTCTGCAGACACCCCTGCTCTAGAAACTCTCAAGGCTCTGCACTGCATATGAGAACACTTGTATGGAAGGACACTTACAGGATGCAAAGCCAGGACTGCTGGTACTGGATCCCCGTGGCTGTGGCCGTCACACACTGCAGCGTCTCTGACAATAGATGCACTGTGAGGGGGCAAGGCAAAAGGGTTAGTCGTGACAGAGCGATCACTACACGCAACAGGTGACCATGCATGAAAACACAAACCAAACAACTAATTCAAGTCAACTACAATCTGGATGCCACTTCAAGAGTACAGTAATGTAACACCAAGATCAAGTTAACTGACTTTTACTGAACACGGTGACACAAAAACTCTCAAACACAAGGATGCGAAATGATGGAGCGACTAATAATTAAATCAAGTCCGCACATCTCCACGAAAAGGCTAATGAATATCAAGGTAAAACAGAAGCAGAGGCTCACCAGAGGACAATACACATCACTGCAGCCAGCGTGAGTGACAATGAAGACCTTTCCAAGAACACCACCAAATGTTTAATTCAAATTAATCAATCTCTGAGCTTGTGTGTGGGTATGCTTGTATGTGTGTGTGTGTCCTTCGGCTCGTGTAGGTGTGAGCTGTCTAGCATATTAAGGCAAGACACTGCAGGCAAAAACACATTTTATCATCTGCACCTGTCAACTTTGAAATTTTAGGCTTTTTAGATTTTTATTAAAACTTCATTAGTCTGATAAAAAGAAAGATTTTTTCTTCAAAATGAGTTTTGTTTAGTCAGAAATTTCCAATTACATACACTAAACTTGACAGATTCATGTTCACATAGAATTATCCTACAGCATATACAAGTAAAAAGTAAGTAATTGACAATTTTCACAAGACTGTTACACACGTTTACCCGTCATCATATTTTTAAATCCTTGAAAGTTTTTAATATTTACAGTAGATCTTTTTTTTAAATGTATGAACATTTAAATGTTTTTATGTATGTATTATATCATCTGTTATATCATTACCACTTAGGCGAGGTGTTTCTAATGCAGCGTTTATGGGGCAGGACAGTAAATTTGATTTTATTCTCTCCTTTGGCTGCCGTCATCACACATTTTTTTCCTTCTTCTGAAAGTCTTGATAACCCTATCAAGAAGTTTTTTTTTTTTTATTTCAGCAAAAAGGATTGAAAAAAAAAATTTTATTATACTCTCCAGTTCAGTGCACTCTAAGTTTGATGAATGCCTTCTGCTACTGAGAAACTCGTAAATGTGAAAGGGGTCTTTGTGTATTATATAGCGCATATATTTTGTATAGCCATACACCTAAACCGCTTCACAATCATGAGGGGGGTCTCCCCACTCCATCACCAGTGTGCAGCATCTACTTGGATGATGCGACGGCAGCCACAGGACAACGGGGCTAGTGTGCTCACCACACACCAGCTATAGAAGGAGTGGATAGACAGTAATACAGCCAATTCATTGGTTGGGGATAATTGGAAGGCCATGATAGGTAAAAGCTGATGGAAGGAATTTAGGTTACATGGAATTTTTAATGACCACAGTGAGTCAAGTCCTTGGTTTAACGTTTCATCCGAAAGACGGTTCTCACTGATAATATAGTGTCCCCTTCACTTCAATGTGGCATGACTCAGACAGACCACAGATTGAGTAACTTTTCTCTTGTGGTCTCCCATGCAGGTACTAACCAGGCTCAGCCCTGACAAGCTTTAATGAGTAACCGGTCTTGTGCTGCAGGATGATATGGCTTTGGCTTTAATTTAAACATAACATTTTAGAAAACAATCACTAAAATCATTTAGCCATTCTTGTCAGACATTGCTGAGATTTTTATTTCAGTATGTTGATGCACTTACAACAAGCTATATGCACAGCTAGTGTTTTCCAGCCAATGATAAACTTCCGGTGAACTTCCGGTGAAAGCTTTATGTGACTATTTTCAATTTCATACGGCTACTTTTACAGAATCGATGCTGTAATGTAATTCAAATATAACCAGTTATATATACTTAAGCATTCATTTAGCTAAAGCGCAAGAAGAGACGAAAAAACGTTTAAACGCAGGCGCCGTCATTAGTCGCAGGCCAATGCAGAAATTCCATTGAAAATACTGAGTTGAAATAAATTTCCTTATTTTAAAAGACATGAAGCTAAAAAATATAGTCCAATGCAGTGCTTCTTGTTTGGTCTGATACCCACGTTTTATCGTATCTTAGCCAGACAGTGAAGATCGCTGTTTTTTAAGGAAATCAGACCTTTGGCGCTGTGATTTTGTATGGGATGACATTAAGCGGAAGCCCTGAGGCTGGCTGACCAGCCTATACCCCACTGAAATATAATATTGAGTAGGGGTGGGGCTTTCTTGCTGCACGTCATGCCCTCATGGCATTATAACAGTAAGGGGGCTGGGTTAAGAATGTTGTGGCTGAACCCGGCAAATTGACGTCAACGGAGAAGGGCTGCGACCCCAGACATCAAATTAAATTGTCTAATTTTGATTAAAGATTACCGAAACAAACATTTTTATTCTGTGAATTTACTTGGACCAATTAATTGTTTACCTAAAAAATATTAATGTGTGCTAGGAAAATAAAAATTGTACATTTTATATCACACAGTATATTATGTAACTAATAAACCAGGGAAGTAGTGATAACTATTTGTATTTTTTAACTACTTTTTTACCATTCACCTGCAGTGTCTTGCCTTAAGCAACAAGCAGTCTGAGCATGTGTGTGTGTCCTCTGTCCAACAGAGGTGACAGGTGTGAGTTGTTCAGCATGACCACCAAAAACTATATGTGTGTGTGTGTGTTTGTGTGTGTGTGTGTGTGTGTGTGTGTGTGTGTGTGTTTGTGTGTGTGTGTGTGTGTGTGTGTGTGTGTGTGTGTGTGTGTGTGCCCGTGTGTGTGTGTGCCCGTGTGTGTGTGCTGTTTAGCAGGCAGGATGGATGTCTCTGGCACACAGTCACACTGTCTCATCAATAAGACATCACACACTCACACCGTGGACAGATGGATATCACCATGACAACACACTCAGCACCATCGAGAAACAGACAGGAAGAGGGAAAGAATGAAAAGGAGGGCAAAAGAGAGTGAAACGTATCAATGGAGCAATACATGGCAATATGAAGCCTGTTGAATTGGCAGGAGGACAAACAGCTGAGATAATTGTGTGCTTGGTGCATTTGTGAGGGAAGAAGCAGACCTCTCTTTCCACAGTACTTTTAAAAAGCATAAGTACAGTACAATGATGCATGTTGTGCAAGGCCATTAAGGCATGTGTGCTGAGGTAAATCTTTAGAAACACTGAATATGGACAGGATGTTGAATCTTTTAAACATATTACATATTTTATTGCTCATATAAACAAACAAACAAATAAACGAAAAAGTTGCGATATATTTCTGATGATTACATGCCAGGGGACCAGATTCACATATATTCATCATCACAACTTGTGGTTATGAGAGCGATAAGATATTTTAATACAGTTCAGTTCAAACAGCCAGTTTAATCATTCGCTAATACTAACTATAAAATGTGGTAACACTTCATAATAGCTACAAACTATGAATCTTTTATGAAGCATTAACAAATAGTTGATAGTTATATGTTAAGCATTAACTTTATATTAATAGATGTTAGTAAGCAATATATAAATGTTACATTAAGCAGTTCATGAAAGTTTGTAAATACAGTAACAAATGCTTTATTCCTGACATAAAAGCACATGTTTAATTGCTTTTCATGCTTTGTTAATAATCCATTTTTCATTACTAAATTAAGTATGGGTGGCACGGTGGCTCAGTGGTTAGCACTGTTGCCTCCAACCCAGGATCAGTCTGATTACGTACCCCTATATACATTTCTGAAGAGAGCAAATCACATCCTAGGAGCTACAATTTACATTCCACGTTTCTGCAGTTTTTGCTAAGTCACCAGAGGCTGCTGTGTATGATTTTAGAGATCAAATTTCTCTCTCGAGTGCCATTTGTGCCTGCTGTTCTCATGTAAATCCACCAGAGGCTGCTGTCGACTGATTGACTTACTGACTGATCCACCCCCCTTCACTAAAACCAACCAATAGTGTTTAAAGAAGCACCAATTGATCCACCCACCCCCTTAGCTAAACCCAACCTCAGTATTTTAAAAAGAAATCCAGAAAAAGAAAAGCCCTCCAATTTTTACTGTTTTCAGATTTTACCACATTTTCACACTGATATTTACTTAATTATTTTATTTTTTGGCTTTTGTTTTGTCGTGCTTTCTGGAATCGTTCTTCACTGGACTTAAATCCCATTGTCATGGTCAACTCTGCTTTGGTAAAAGCGGAAAACCAGTTCATATGGAGATGAGCAGTTAGTTTCTGTGTGGAATTTGCGTGTTCTCTCTGTGTTTGCGTGGGTTTTATCCATGTGCTCTGGTTTCCCCCACAGTCCAAAGATTTACGCTATAAGTGAATTAAGCTTGAAAGGTTATAGAGTATGAGTGTGTGTGTGTGTGTGTGTGTGTGTGTGTGTGTGTGTGTGTGTGTGTGTGTGTGTGTGTGTGTGTGTGTGAATGAATGAGTGTCCATGGGTGTTTCCCAATACTTGGTTGCAGCTGGAAGGGCATCTGCTGCATAAAACATATGTTGAAATAGATGGTGGTTCATTCCGCTGTGGCGACCTCTGAAATAGAGACTAAAGGAAAATGAACAAATAACTGAATAAATCAAGTATTGTATTATTTACAGTCCAAACCAGTTATTTAAGAATAGTTGGATAGTTTTTTAAAGATCATAATACAGCATTTGTAGATGTTTTTATGAACTGCTTACTAACGTCAACGAGCATAGAATCACCAAAAAGCGACACTCAATAGAACATTCCATTGCAACAGCAGCGCCCAGCGATTTCGCCATTCTAGAGTGAAAGTGATTAGCCATCCATTGGGTCTTATAGCTGTCACGATGGCAAACAGCTGCTTTGTTTTTTATTGATTTATTTAAAAAGCGCATTAAAGCAGAAATACAACCTAAAAGATGCCAATAGAACACTTAAAATCAAAGACTATCAGATCAGAAGATTATCAGCACTTTTAATAGTTTATTTTAAAGACTTAATGTTTAATATTTTAACCATACTTGTTTTCTTGAAACAGTCACTTTTAGGTAAAATTACTTTAAATTACTTTAATTTAATAGGCATAATACATATTATTACTGACATATGATTTTCAAAATGGGATGTTGATAACAGATTAAAAGTACTTTTGTTGAAGTATTATAATAGCCCCTTTTTGAATAGGTGCTTTTTTAAAATACTGGTAAATTCGTTCTGGCTATTTTCCGGAAAGAGAAATTGTAACATTACCAGTAATTTGCCGGAATACTGCGCTGTGTGAATGCAGAAGGAAGACTCCCAAAAAGAGCGTGTGCACGTCCAGAACGTGCTGACGTGAGACGTCTGCTTAAGCCAATCAGAACAGTCAGACGCATTCATGTCCACACGGTTTATGAGAATAAAAGCCTTTGAATATTTTCCAAGACACATTTAGCTGCTAGAAGTTAGTCAAACAACATTTATATTTTCATCTTAATGCCAACGGTGTAAATAATTATTGATAAGATGCTTATGATAAGCCATTGTTTGTTTACCTTCAAACTTTGCGTGTGCCCGTGAAACAGCCCGTGAGCCCAAGCACACACACACATATCATGTACAGCTCGACATGCAAAAGTGTTTCTCTACATGTTTTCATCAGAGTTGTTCACAATACTGATTCATCCACAGAGTTTGTAATGTAGTCAAATGTTTACAAATACAATCCCAGCCATTTAGAGGTCATTTCTGGTTAATCATGTCAGAATTTACCAGTATTTTGGAATGGGTGTGTAAATGGTCTTTTACAGAAAAATTCTGTATTGTCCCCGCCTGTGTAAACAGCGCTTTTTTTAATGTTAATGTTTTTTAATGTTTTTTAACTTTAACCAGTGTTGTAAGTTTAAAAAAAGACTAATAACGGTTTTACTTAAAAAGCTACTTTCTCCAAATTTATATATATATATATATATATATATATATATATATATATATATATATATATATATATATTCACAATTTTTAATGATGTCATTAAAAATCATGGAGGCCATACAAACTACCAGGTAATGTAGTTTTTGCTGTAGTTTTTGTTGCGTATACTCATTTTTGCTTCACCCTAATTTAAGTAAAACAGAACAAAAAAAAGTAATTAAGTTATTTTGTTAACCTTACTTTTATGTTATATGTAAACCAAAAAATTTAGATATATCAGGTTTATTAAACTTAGACTTATCAACATTTTGAAAAATGTCTGTTTTCATTGAGAAATTCTTTTAAAATCTTTTAAAATTTTACTTTTCAAAGGGGATGTATTTATTTTAACTCATATTTAACAGAATATTTTAATTCATTCTGTCTAGTGTTGGTTATCCATGCTGTTTTCCTATTGGAATATTTATTCCAAAATGGCGGCCACATGACACTATCGACATCTAGTGGCGGTTTCTCAAATGGCAACAGAGTGTTGCCTCTTGTTGGATATGCTCTTTTGCTAAAGTCTAATGTAGAGTTAATGCTTAACAAAAATGAATTCACTATTAGCTAATGCTTAATGAACGATTCACAGTGTGTAATAAATTATTACCAAAAAGGTTACTTTATTGTTTATTGAAATAAAATAATAAATTTAAAAATAAACTTACTTAAATTTAGCCAGTCACCAAAGCAGCGTTGTTAGTTTTAAGCTAGTACTTGGTGTAGTAAAAAAAAGAAAAACACAACACGTAAAATTTATAATATAATATAATATAATATAATATAATATAATATGATATGATATGATATGATATGATATGATATGATATAATATAATATAATATAATATAATATAATATAATATAATATAATATAATATAATATAATATAATATAATACATGCATTAACATTCAGGCAATCATCTATTCTAGGCCAACCCCACCTCACCCTTTCTGATAACAGCCAGAGGCCTGGACATCAGGATGGAATGAGATGCTTTTATTCACACACACACTAAAGTGTTTTCCTTGAGATATTAAAAAGTCTGTTCGCTCCTGTGTGTATATGTGTGTGTGTGTATGCTAGATAAATATTAAGCAGAAAAAGACATCAGAATGACAGTGGACTTTTTTTCAATCACAACAGCGGAATCCATGCACAGCCAATCAGCCGAGCGGCAATGAGGCGGGAATGAGAAGGAGAGAGAGGAGATGATACAGCCCAATTTTAAGCTCCACCACAGAGAGGGATGGGGGACCGCTCGGCATTCAGCAACGACTCTTTTTAAAAAACAACGCCAAATCTTGTCATTTCAAATGTGTGGATACCGATTCCAAATTGGATTGTGTCACTGCATCAACTGGAAAATGCAGAAAATTGATGGATCGGAATAAGAAAACAGGCACTCGCGTGTCTGTCGGACTAATGGTACGTGTCAATCACATCCAGTGGAAACATCAGGGAGAAACACACATGAATGTGGGTAATATCCCACACATCTGATCATATCGCTCTTACCGTTGTCATAGAAAATGAAATTCGCCGACCTGTCTGTGCGAGAGAAGCGAAGACACACAGACACACAGAGAGACACACACAGAAACAGAGTTCAGCTTGGAGAGGAAAGAGTTACAGTTGGGCTGAGCACAGAAACACATGTTGTGAACCCTAAAAGCAAGCAGAAAGAGTGAGACACAAATTCAGAAGCCCACCATCCACCCACACAGACGCACCGAAACCTCCCTCTCGCACTAATTGGGGCTGGGTTGTCAGGCAGATGCTCAGGTCTCTTTACTCTGATGAAATATGATTTTTCCCCATCGTTCCATGTGCCTGAATGAGATCTTTATTTCCATTTTCTTCTAATTTGATCCCCAGACTGATAAAGTTTGCTTTGCGTGTGCGTTCGCATGTGTGTTGACCACCCACAGTGCGTGCGCACAATCAATGCACTCACAATTAGATCTCATTCATGGATTCTGAAAATACATTATCATATTCATGACATTCACATTTCATAATCCAATCACACATGGGTTCATTTGCATGTTCCCAGGCTCATATCATTAATGTGATTCTCGCTCACATGTGAGCTATGTATCCTAGCAACAGAGACAAGGGAGAACGTATCATCTCTGGACTTGAAAAAAAAATTTGAAAATTGACTAACGATAATTCACATCTCACCAATCACATAGTCTGACAGTGTCCGGGTGCAGATTAGGGGCAGTGTTGGGTTGGACCACTGTTGTGGTACAGTAAAGTCAGGGACTGGGCTTAATTGGTGCCCGGGATACCGAATGATATTCTGTGTGTATTCAGTGCGAATTTGGCAAAGATGATAAGAACACAGAGATTACTGGTGAGCCGGAAACGATCAATACGATCCAGAAAAAGCGTGCTTGTCAGCTTGAGGAAATCTCTGAGGGAAATGACACATTTGTGCAGCCTGAGGGGATTTACATGCTGTGGGATTCTATATGTTGTGGTCATGAATATTTCATTTATTGTAGTGGATTTTATTCATTTATTCCTTTCTAGGTGAATTTGTGAGTGTGTACAAGTTGAATCATCAGGAGTGTCAAGTGGTGAAACCAATGATCCTCAATTATGACATACAACCTACAATACAAGTTTAGGAATATAAGTCATGTTTTATTAAAGAGATAACTCACACAAAAACAAAAATTACATTATAATTGCATCACAGTTTATTCTGCCTCATGTGGTTTTAAACTCTTCATCTTTTGTTGAACATAAAATAAGTTATTTTGAAGAATGCTGGATGATGCTATACAATGATTTCCATAGTAGGAAGAATATTACCAGTGCTGTAGTAAAGTTACTTTAAAAACTAATAGGTTACAAATTACTGACTACTACTGGAAAATTGTAATCTGATTACATTAATAATTATTTAAATTAAAAGGTAATCAGATTATTACTTACTTTACTTTGAAGTTAAATTTAAAACAATAAAATAAACTGCAGCTCTTACAGTAATGTAATATTCACTGAGAAACAATACAATGGGTTGACCACAGCAGCTTGACTTATTCAAAAGACTAAAAAATTTCACCCAAAACTTAAAATTCTCTCATCATTCACTAGTTCCAAACCTGTTTTTTTTTTTTTTTTTTAACGATCCTGTACAAAAGTCCAATTTAGCCTGTTTAGTCTTTGTAGGACCGGCATGTTTTTTGGCGCTGGTGTCCTCCTTGGTGACAAATATTGTTATTGAATGCTTTTTGTTCAAGTGCTCGAACAAGTTGTTGGTCGATTTAAAAGCAGTGGAAAGTTCTTTAGAGAGTGGACATAGGCTAAACTTCACAGCAATATTTCAAATAAAATTAAAGTAATGTCTGTATTTCCTCTTGAAGAAACAGTCGCTTTTGTCAGCAGTTATTTCAGCCTGCATTCTCCAGCAATTTAAAAATGTTTGCTTATTAATTGACATTGTAGCGAAAAATGTGATTTTCTGAACAAGTAAAACATAATGTCTTATTTTAAGACATAATATGCCAAAATTAAGTAAATTTTTCCCTTAAAACAAGCAAAATAATCTGCCAGTGGGGTAAGCAAAATAATTGTATGTTAAAAGGAAAACAAGATTATTTTGCTTTCCCCACAGGCAGATTATTTTGCTTGTTTTAAGGAAAAACTCACTTAAGATTGGCATATTTTTTTTTAAAATAAGACAGAATGTTTTGCTTGTCTAGAAAATGCTTCTCGATTTAAGAATTTTTAGATATTTGTACAAGAAACAAGACCAAAAATCTAAATAAGAAAAATGTAAAATGCAATTTATTACATTACAGCATTTCCCAGAAATGTAATTAGAATAGCGTAAAGTGTTACGGTGGAACACGTTACACCCAACTCTGAATATTACTATGGAAGTCAACGGGAGCCAGCTACCAGCATTCTTCAACATATCTTCTTTTTATGTTTAACAGAAGAAAGAAACTCAAATAGCTTTTGTGAAGGGTGAGTAAATGATGACAGAATTGTCATTTTTGGGTGAACCATCTCTTTAATCATCTGAAACATGCTGTGACTTATATTCCAAAGTGAAATCTACAGTCCAATTAGCATCAAGCACTCAGAATGTGCAATGTGCACAAATCATTACTGGTGCTGAATGATGGAGTCATGTGAAGCCATGTGTGTAGTTTCAGTTTGCTCCAAGTAATTAATTTAGGCCTGATGCTCATAATAAATCTATAATGTGAATTGAACTATAATTTCTTTTTGTTTCATACATATATAGACGTTTTCATAGCATTGTTTTTGTATCAAAAAATACTTTAGTAATTTATTGTAAGTACTATAATGTTTTTGAAACATTGTAGTACAGTTGTTAAATTAATCTGTTATGGTAATTCTGTAATAGACAGTACAATATGCCGTAACACTTTATAATAATTACACATTATGAACCAATTATTAAGCATTAGCATATAGTGAATGTATTATTTGTTGAGCATTAACTCTACATAAAAAAGCGTTAGTAAGCAGTTTATAAATGCAGCTACAAATGCTCTTTGATAAGCACATGTGTAATGTGTATACTAATTGTGTTTTCATACTTTGTTAATGATTAATTCTTAATTGCTTAATTAAGTATAGCATTATTTACAAACCAGTTATTTAAACAAGTTGGTGGCATTTTAAGATCATTCAGAATGCATAGGTAAATGATTAATAAACTATTCAAATTAACATTTATATATTTTATTATTCAGGCATATGTGAATAGTTAATTTGTTTGTTAATAAATGCTTTATTAACCTAACTTCTTCCAGTTTTGTGACCTAATCTAGTGAGGATTATTTATGCTTTGTAAATCCCTTATAAATGACAATTAAAGGCTCAGTTCTAAACAGGAAAAAGAACAAAAAACAACTTTATTCATTTCTATTTATTTTAAGATACACAAATGAAACTGTATCAAATGAAAAATAAATCTTTGCAATCTTAACCAAAATAAAATTATTGTGCAGTTTAAACTTCACTTAATAACATTGATATGTTGCATCATATTATGTTGTTAATTTATTATATTGTTGTTGTTTTTTTATCCAATTTTATGTTGTATTTTGACTGCAAAGATGCGTTGTTCACTTGATACTGAGCTTTTAATTGACATTTATAAGAGATTTTCAAAAAAGCATAAATAGTCCTCACTTTAGATTAGGTCAAAAACTACATGAAGTTGAGTTAATAAAGCATTTATTAACTTATATAGTCACCATCATTACAGTATATGCCTGAATAATAATATATATAAATTTTGATTTCAATAGTTTATTAATCATTCACTAATTCATTCTGAATGACCTTAAAAAACCCTAACTACTCTTAAATAGTAATGGTTTGTAAATAATGCAATACTTAATTTAGTAATAAAAATATCAATCACAATTTATAAAAGTACAATTATTAAGCACATTTAAATGTACTTATGAGTAAAGAATACAGCATTTGTAGGTGCAGTTATAGTTTAATGTATAGTTAATGCTTAACAAATAATGAATTCACAACATACTAATGTTTAATGAATGATTCATAGTGTGTAGTTATTATAAAGTGTTACCCAATTTGCTTTACTATAACACGGTTTAAAACTGTATTTACTATAAAATATAACAATATTTTATTTATATTTGGGTTAATGCTGTTAAATTTAAAGGATTTATTGTGGAAGGAGAGGGGTAAATTGTCATTTGCTACCAGGAAGCCTATTTAAAATGATTTCTGATTCGAATAACAAAACTTAACCCTGTTTACATCCAAAATTAAGATGCACTTTTGTCAGTCAGAACACAAATGGCCAATGCTGAATAGAGGTGTAAATGGTGTCTAAATGGTATTGAACTTGTCGTCTTCTATTGACCTCATTCAGATATAGTTGAAACAGCCTAATTCTGAAACATTACAAGATATGTCATCATTTATTCACCCTTCACTTGTTCAAAACCTGTTTAAGTGTCTGTCTTCTGTTGAACACAAATGAATATATTTTGAAGAATGTTAGTAGCTGGCACCCATTGAATTGCATGATATATTTTTTTCTTTAGACCCTTGGAAGTCAATGGGTGTCAGCAACCAGCATTCTTCAAATGATCTTCTGTGTTCAACAGAATAAAGAAACCCAAAAAGGTTTAAAACCACACGAGAGAATAAATGAGTTCATTTTCATTTTTGGGGGAACAATCCCCTTTAAAGTGCCCATTAAAAGAAAGTTAGTTTGAAAAAATTTAGTTTGAAGGTTTGAAAAATAAGAATCATAAAACAAACCCACTGTGTTTTGAGAATTTTGTGTATCTGTATTGTTTCCTTTTGCATTATGTGTAAATTGCTTTTTTTTCCCCACAATATTAAATCAAAAAGCAAATACATATGCTTTCCCATCAATCCTCCCCTCTCAAAAATCAACAAAGTGGTTGGAAGTGGACAAAAGTTATTAATTTAAACAAGTGTTAATGACGGCTGGCCATTGGGCAGTGCCGGTGAGAGTCTATTGCTTTGGTCTCTCATCACGCTCACAT